GATATAAATTCTAAATCCTAAACCGTAAAACAACTTTGTTTCATGAAAATACTGTTAGAACATCCTCATTAACTTATATTCATACATGAATGTTGTTTAGGAATTGGAACTTGAACGTTGCCTAAACGCAACAACATGTTTGCCCCATACACCAAAAGTGGCTAGAGTCCAAAGGGGTACAAGTGCAAGCATTTTCCTGTCCAATGCTGCTTATCGTAGCTTCTTATATGATAAGTTCAACATAACCCCTCTGGACATGGAAAGTGCTTCTGTTGGCCTAATATGTCTTCAGCAAAGGGTGCCTTTCATTGCCATCAGGTCTCTCTCGTCTTCTTTGACCGGTGGCGGCTCAGGTGATCCAAACGAGGCTAGCAAATTCATAACTCTCGCATCGAAAAATTCAGTTACAGCAGTTGTGGAATTCATCGAACAGTTGTCTCTTCATCAGCTGCTAATTAATCATTGAACATATGTTTATTGCTCTAATAAAACTCTCTTTGTTGGAGGCATGCTCATCTTGCTTCTTACCTTATCTAAGCTTGCATTCGAGTAGTGGAATTTAAATAAATAATAAGACCATCAATTTAAACAAATCAAAACTGAAAATTTCAAATAAAAATAATTTATGTTATACCTGTTTCTGTCCTATTAAAGACACAAGCCAAAAATTGTGAGGATCCACATCATCTCCTTATCATTGTTATTAATTTGTTTGATTGATTATGGATCCAAATCATTGTCACACGTTTTTTGGACAGAAAATCCAAATCACAATTCCAATTAACTTGAAACTGTACAATTTTTCGGTCCAATTCTCCGAAACAGAGCCAACTGAAGACTAATTTGGTGCTTCTTACAAGCTCTAACAACCATCCAAAAGGTCCTTTAAAGCTGGAGCAAATAGAGGGCATAAAAAGGGCACCAAGAAATAAGAGAAAACAGGGCAAAGATCCTTTTTATGCTCTCGCTAAAATGTCCATCTTGCTCAAATCCCTCACTCTGCTCTCCCTCTTCTTCACCTGCTGTCTCACTCAACCTTCTCTGTTTGGAAACTCTAGGGTTACAAAAACCCCACTCATAGCTATCTACAATGGAGGTGATGATACAGAGAATAGAGGTGGGTGGGAATTGGTTTCAGATAATGCAGGTGTATCAGCCATGCACATGACCATAATGCCTAACACTAACAAGGCTATTATGTTTGATGCTGCTGGATTTGGTCCATCTGGGATCTCCTTTCCTCCTGGAGATTGCCGTCCGGTTTTCAACGAAAGGGACGAAAATGAAGATCACTATGAACTGGATTGCTGGGCTCATGCTGTAGAGTTTGATATTGACACTGCAGATATTAGACCACTTAAGGTACGCACAAACTAGCCTACCATAATTTTGTTTCAGAAAATTATATGTGGTGGATTTATTTTGGTATGACTTACTTTTTCCTTTGTTAGTTAAAATCAGATTTTGACAGATACATGGAGCTCATGTGGTGGATTATCAGCTAATGGTACCCTTGTCCAAACTGGTGGATGGGGTGATGGAGGGAGGTCTGTGAGATACCTCTCTGGATGCAAAGCTTGTGACTGGGAGGAGCACCCCATGTCACTTTCTGCCTCAAGATGGTATAATTCAACTCTGTTAATTACACTCTTTATACCCACATAGACAACTGTGAACTGTTTGATTGATAAGTCCGATTATTCGACTACTAATATTTTTGTGACTTTTTGAAAATAGGTTCTCCACACAACATATTTTGCCAAATGGCGATTTCATAGTGATCGGAGGTCGTCGCATGTTCAGTTACGAGTATGTCCCCAAGGTGGAAAGTTCCAATCAAATGTACTTCCTATTACCATTTCTCCAAGAAACCACTGACCCGGTAGAGAACAATCTCTACCCATTTGTTTTTCTTTCCACGGATGGTAATATTTTCATCTTCGCTAATAACCGTTCGATCTTACTCAATCCAACCACCAATAAGATCATTCGCGAACTGCCTGTCCTTGATGGTGGGTCCCGAAACTACCCTTCATCAGGCATGGCGGCGTTGCTACCTATAAAGCTCAGCGTCAACGACCCAAACTCGAATGTGATTCGAGCTGAAATCTTGATCTGCGGCGGAGCGGATACTAGGGCGGGAAAATTAGTTGAGAAGGGTATATTTGTAACTGCACTGCAAGACTGTGGAAGGATTGATATAACAAACCCGAAAGCCACGTGGCAGAAGGAGATGATGCCAACGCCAAGGACTATGGGAGATATGCTGATCCTTCCCACTGTTGACATCCTCATGATCAATGGGGCCAAAAAGGGCACATCCGGGTGGAACTTCGCCGAGGATCCGAACTCGACCCCGCTGCTTTATAAACCCGATAACCCGGAAACCCAACGGTTCATGGAGCTAAAGGCAACGACCATACCACGAATGTATGGTTCAACCTCCATGGTAATGCCAGATGGAAACATCTTAGTGGCTGGGAGCAATACAAATTACTATTACAATTTCACAGGAGTAAAATATCCAACTGAACTTCGGGTCGAGAAGTTTTACCCACCATACTTTGACCCGTTACTCGTTTTTGCCCGCCCCACAATTGTATCCGATTACAAGGGTATACTGGTAAAATACCAAAGTAATTTTGTGATTGAGTTCAAGTTGAAGAAATATAAGGTGAACCAATTAGATTTGAAGGTGACCATGTATGCACCGCCCTTCACAACACATGGTTTTTCAATGGGTCAAAGGCTTTTGGTATTGGGCATAAAGGGGTTGGAAAATGTGGGGTTGGGATTGTTCCAAGTTGAGGTTGTGGCGCCACCAACGGCCAAGATTGCTCCCCCAGGTTTCTATTTGGTCTTTGTTGTGCACAATGGAATTCCAAGCTCTGGGATATGGCTGCAAATTGCATAGAGGAATTTTATACAGTTTGAATTATTTTTTTGGGTTTCTGTACATAATATATATTTTTTTGATTAGTGATCATATTGGAAATTTATATATACTCAATCCAGATTTTTCATATTTTTTATTTTCACTTTCGGTTTTCATATGCTAACTTACTAATTATGAAATTGGGGAATTATGGAATCATAATTGATTTATTATTTTGTTAATACAAGCGATATTTGAAGAGTAGAGATTCGAACACAAAGGAATCAAAATTGAAACAACCACTCTCCTTGTTGATCTGATCCATAATTTTGAGAGTATTCAATTACGGATTTAATAATAGAAATCACATAATTTTTAAATGTTTATGTGTAACAAAGTCACAAATCAATATAATTAAAATGTCTGTCAACGAGGTCTAGTTCAATGAAAAAATGCTTCAACTTGCAGATTAGAGGTTTCAAGTTCGAATCCTCACAATGTCATACTTGTATGTGTATGAGAAATTCACCTCCTCTGTAGTTCAGACTATTGCTACTAAAAAATTATATTTCTAAATACAAAATATTAAGCAAAGTCTGAGAACCAAATTCAGACATTGTGCCCGGTCAACGATTCTAAATACGAAATATTAAACAGAGACTGAGAACCAATTCTTTGTCTTCCTAGCTTCTGTTTAATTAATTAATTAATATTTTTCTCTTCTTTGACCAACAGAAGTTGTAGAACCGACTTTTTAATTTTTTAAGTTTTTACATTTCTGTAAAAGCCTGGGAACCGACTTTTAATTTGTAGGACTTTGAAAAGCGATTTTACCGCCATCTTCGCTTTTCCGTGACCGTGAGCTTACAAATTGACAATTACAAAAGCCCCACCATCCAAAACTTTCATAAACTGAAGAATCACCCTTCCATTTTGAAAATTTTAATTCGCGCCCCACATTCCTAGATCGGAAATTACCATATTCGCCCAACTCTTTTTTATTTTCGGTTTTTAGATCCCTGTCTCCCTCATCTGTGGCCGCCATCCAAGTCCTCGTTTCTGCTTTCAACCTCTCCCTCCCTCCCTAAAATTCCCAAAACGCATCCGGCCAAATCGTTCTCTCTGCTATTCGATCGAAGCCTCACCCTAAAAACCCTAGATTTCTCTCTTCCATCCACGAATTCAATCAGTTCTAGAGAGATTAGGGTTTTTATGGAGAGGATCGTCGCAGAGAAGTACAAGTTAGGTCGCAAAATTGGGAGCGGCTCATTCGGCGAATTGTACCTCGGTCTGTGAATCATTCGATTAGCTCTTCTTCATTTTATCTATATTTTGCTTTTATCTTTCATCTCCTCATCATGATCACGATTACCATTGATGCTGATTTTTTTAAAATTGTTATTATTATTTTTTTGGTGTTTCAGCAACTCATATTGAGACTGGCGAGAATTTGGCAGCGAAAATTGTAAGTCTCGATTCAATCCTCTTCATGTTTCAGATTTTATCAATAGTTTGAGTTTTTGTTTCCGCATAAAATAATTTTCAGAAATAAATTGACCCTGCGCCCTTTGTGGATAAATGGCCTGGTTTTGAGCTCATCAAATTACAGTTCACTTGATTGTTGGTGGAATATTTAGGTGCATGCGGGCGAGTGCGTGTTAGGAGCTTATCTTAGATCTCGATAATAATAAGAAATTCATTTGTGTTAAATTCAATGTGATAATTTTGTCAGAAGTTTTATCATGGCAATGAGCCTTGGGTTCAGAATGGTTGGTTTTTCAAGGGAAAACATGTTCTGGTTTTCCATGTTCTCATTTTGGCAGACGAATAGTATGATGTACAAGTAATTGATTGTAATTTTTTCATTGCCAGGAAAATAACAAGACAAAACATCCGCAACTGTTGTATGAAGCCAAGCTTTATAAAACTCTACAGGGAGGAAGTAAGGATTGAATATCAGTAGTTTTGTTTTGAACTACGTGCTCTCATAAGTTATCACCTTGGATCTTGTTTTCACTTATTGATGGCTTGAGTTTGTCACTCTTCAGGTGGTATTGCAGGCATAAAATGGGCGGGATTTGATAGGGACGATAATGTTCTCATCATTGACTTACTGGGACCGAGTCTCGAGGACCTCTTTGTGTACTGTGGGAGGAAGTTTTCACTGAAAACAGTCTTAATGTTGGCTGACCAGATGGTAAGGGGTTGATTTTGACGACTTGTTATTTTTGAAGCCTCAAGTTGTCGATGCGAGAAGATTTTATTTCGTTTTTGTGTTCCTGTGCTTAAGGTTTTTATGGATTGTTTTCATAAATTCTCTTTATATTCTTCCTTCAGTTGCAACTAAATGGGGACTCACCTTTTAAGACTTCACTTGAGATTTTTACTTTATCTTCTTCTAGAGTATCTACGTGCTAAGTGCCAAATTGTTTGCATAGTGGTAACTTTGATTCTTTTGTTCATTCAATTCTAGATTACAAGAATAGAGTATGTGCATTCTAAAGGGTTTTTGCATAGAGACATCAAACCCGACAACTTCCTCATGGGTCTCGGCAGGAAAGCAAATCAGGTAATGTTAAAGCATTACGCTTTCACATCTAACTTGTAGGAACAATATAGAATTTAGGATTTTCTGTTGTTTGTCAATTTTTTTAATCACCGTTGGGTACTCATTCATCAGGTTTACATTATTGATTTTGGACTTGCAAAAAGATTTCGGGACCAAAATACAAACCGGCACATTCCGTACAGGTAAAGTTTGATAATCTGTTCCATGTTTAATATCTGGGGGGATTTATTTTTCTTGAATGGGCTCTTCCTGTTCTGGAAATTTTTTTGCTTTTGAGTCCGCGCTGTTTACAGTGATATGCATCATGTAAATACAACTTTAGCCACATAATCTGAGATTATGTAAAGAATTCCTTTTGTCGATATTTGACTGATTCAATTATAAGCTGGCAAGTTTCTTTGTTTGCATAACAAGATACAATTCTATGAAAATGCATCTCTGAATTGTTTATTCACCAACAGTCTAGCATAATTTTTCTACTTTGTTTATTCAATACCCATGTTTGGCTTAGTGTTTCTATTTTCCTTGATGAAATCATACAGAGAAAACAAAAGCTTAACAGGAACTGCACGTTATGCTAGTTGCAATACCCATTTGGGAATTGGTAAGTAGAGAGGTACTTAAGTCTGTTGTTCTATATGGTTGGCTGTCTGCTTCCTCATTCTGTTGTTTCATTGTTTTAGATCAGAGTCGTCGGGATGATTTGGAGTCACTTGGCTATGTTCTTCTGTACTTCTTAAGAGGAAGGTATGTAGTAAAGTCAATACCACATTTCAGAAGAGAATTTCCACTGGAGTTCCAGTTAGAATTTTTGTCATTTTGATGACTTGTATGGTTTGCACAATGTTTTGACCAGATAATGAAGTACTATATTATTTCATGGCCTGACTGACTGATTGGTTTCTGCATTTAGCCTTCCTTGGCAGGGTCTTAAAGCTGCAACGAAGAAGCAAAAATATGATAAGATTTGTGAGAAGAAGCTATCAACTCCCATTGAGGTACGTGCCACTTTCCATTAGGTGATAGTTTTGCATCTTGTGAATTGGGGGGATCATAACGAACTGATTGTGAAATCTGTTTTCAAGGTCCTATGTAAGTCTCATCCTGTGGAGTTCGCATCCTACTTCCATTATTGCCACTCTTTAACATTTGATCAACGCCCGGATTATGCATTCTTGAAGCGCCTGTTTCGTGACTTATTCAGCCGTGAAGGTATGATATTTATTTCACACTTTTCACCATATTCTATATCCTACAAAATTAATTGGGTGTTAAAAATGCAACCTACATCATCTGGCAAGTTGATGCTTCTCACAAATGAGCTTTTTCTTCATGGAAAACTTTTATCATATATTTTGGTGTTTATAAATTATCTTCCTTGTTTTGCAGGGTATGATTTTGACTATGTATTTGACTGGACAATTCTAAAATACCATCAGGCACAACAGACAAGGACCCAGGGTCAATCATCTGTTAGTATCTTCGTGAATTTTCTTTTATTACCATCTCCTATTAATTGCTTCTAGAATTTAAAGCATGGGACCATGTTCTGTTTCTTTTATGTATTTAATTTTGCTTCAAGTCTGTTTTGTATTTAAGTACTGATATATTCAATCTTACATTTTTTTTTCTCTTCAAACTTTATCTAGGGTGTTCAGCCAGCTGTAGTGACTAATGGTCGAGCAGCGGCTAGCAGTCGACCAGTGCCTATGGATGCGATGAGACTTAAAGGTAAGGTCCAGAACTCCAGTTTGCTCTTGATTTCCAGGGTAGTTAGTGAACCAAATCTTGATGAGATTGGCCTTAAATAAGTGTATTGAGAAAGCATTTGGTATCTCAGAGCCTTGCTTGCATTACTAGAGAAGTCTGATCATATATAAAATGTTGGTTTACTGACTATTCTCAGTTCTTACGTTTTATTTATGGATTTCAGGAGTTAATGATGTTTCTGGATCAGCTGAGGTCGCAGACCGTAGACGGTCAAGTAATCTTGCTCATCCAGATGTTCATATGCAATTTAGATCGTCAACTGCGCAGAATTTAGGTGCTAATGATCTGGTTGAAAAACATGTATGTAACCTGAAATGTAAATCATATCATGGTTTGTTTGCGTATTTATCAAGGATCTACTCTTTTTTGCATGGAAGATGTTCTCATCTGTTGCACGTTATGTTGTAATCCTGTGTTGTGAATACTGTACCGGGCGAATGTAGATCGTGACTTTTTTTGTAATTGGTACAGAATGTGAGCAATGTGCCGATGCCATCTTCTACGTATGCTCTCAGAAAAAATTATAAAAAACCAGAGGGGCCGGCTGAAAATGCAAACTTAGGTCGTGGAGTTGGGAACCAAAATGGTGCTTCAAGCAGTTGGATGCCATCAATAAACCAGGTTTCTTCCTCAAAGTAATAGGTATGCAGTTTTCTATTGCATAAAACTATCTTTTATGTGCTTAAGTTTTGTATCATATGGAATATAATTGCTCAAAACCTGCATGGTTGTTTACAAGATATTCAGCCTTGGTTTGTTTTTCAGCTACAGATCTGAAGGAGATTACTCAAAGCATGCATCTTGCTGTAGCAAATGTCATGAAGTTTGGATTGCTTTCGTTCTTCCATGTCAGATGTCATAACGTATGAGAAAAATGTGACTGGAAAAGCATGAACACACTGGATGCGCTTGAAGCTCACCTCCGAAGCTTGGACTTTTCGCGTGCATAGGTGGCAAAAATGACTAAGCCCATATCATGTTGTGTGGATGATGTGTAAAGTGTAGCATCCATTATTCTGATAATAGATGATAATTTTTTTCTTCAGTGCTATTTGGTTGTTTTGACCATGTATTTCATTCAATTCAGGATTGAGTTGCTTTCTGTTCTTATTGCTGTATCTTTTTCGGATCAAAGCCCTGGATGTTCACCCAGGCTCTTCAGAATCTGGAAAAAGAGTAAAACTAGTATTTCAGGTATCAACTATATTGATCTCTTCTCAAGGCGTTTCTATGTGGAAAAATGTTAACTTATGGACTTCTTTTGCTTGATTTCTACACAAGTGCTCATTGATGCTATTTTTCTTTGCTTCAGATCTTGATATGAGATGTTATAGAGGATGAATGGGACAACTTCATTGGCTGTCTCGATGTCGATTTGAAGAGGGTATTAGAGATCCTTCTATCGGTTGTTAAATTCTTTTGAGTTTTGTATTTAAAAGCTTTAATAATCCATGATTTGAAGCAGGGTTGGAGTCACTTGATTATGATTTTTGTACTTCTAATTACGGAATCCTATCCCTCAGATTCCTGCCAATCTTTTTCTGCGTCTCTCCTCCTCCTCCTCCTCCTCCTCCTTTGCTTCTTGTTCTACACTTGTATCTTATTAATAGCTAATTTTTGACTTGTATAGGTTGGAAATTGCAAGTATGAATCAACCTCGTAAAGCACAGAGGTTAGGGGGTGATTTAAATTAAGCAAAGTTATGCAAATCAGAAAATTTTACGATAAAAATAAATAAATAATCGATTGGGACCTCAGAAATTGTTGGTGCTCTCTCTCACTCTCAATTAAAACCCATGATTTAGGCTCCAAGCAATGATGAAAGTTGTACCGTACCCTCAGCTGGGTGCGTGGGTCTTAAAACAATTAAGTTATGTCACCACTAACCATGCCGCTGTCTGTAGTGAGATTATATTCTAGGGGCTGTTGGTGGGCCCAGGGTGCTTGCCTCAAAGTTTGTCCTTTGTTTTTTTCTTTTCAAAATTTTATTCTGACCTACAGTAAAAGTTACGAGTGAAAGAAAGTGAAAAGAGATCAGCTTTAGACAGAAGTTACTTTAAACCTCGATGCGGGACACATTTGCAGAATTTCTCGCCTCAATCTAGATAAGAAACTGAGGACGAAGCTAATCAATGGAAGCATCATTTACTTTCTTAAACCTGGGGTAAATGATCCTAGGGTTACGATCCAGAACCAGAAGGCAATGTGATGTAAAGGGCCCCTCAGAATAATTTTGCTTTATTAAATTAAGCTTTGATAATGGTGGTGTCAAAAGGAACCTTAGCCTGGTAATCATGAACAGGCCGCTGAAAAAATGGGGTCTTTACCCATAAATGCATAAAGCACACACAAGTGAGTGTGAGGAGGAAAAGAAAAGGCAACAATTTTATGATGGGGACAAATTTTAAAATTAAATAAAAATAAAAATAAAAAAACCATGCAGCGCACTTTTGCAACCTTGTTAAATAGGCACTGTATTGTACCCCTGCTCTTCAATCTTCATCATCTCATTCCTCATTTCCGCTATTGGGCTTCAAAAAAAGTAAGCAAAAACCGAAAAAAGAAGAAAACTAGACTGATTTTTTTGGCTTGGCTCTTAACTCTCTAACTCTCTGACTCTGAGTGTGTATGTGTGTGTTTTTTTCATGGTGTTTTAGTGAGCTCTTGCGGTTTGAAATGCCCAACAACACAGGGGATGCATGGGGGGCTAGAGGACATAGACGAAAATGGTGGCATGAGTTGGGCAGGCGAGGCTTGTGCCCCGCCACCGGAAACTCCAACGGAGTCCATGGAGTTTCTGGCCAGATCATGGAGCCTCTCTGCCATGGAGCTCTCCAAAGCTCTTTCCCACACTCATGTTAATGTTGCTTCCAAAAATCTTGACAACAACAAGTCTGCCTTCACTTCTTCTGATGGTGTTGGTTCGCATGATACAGTTTCCATGCGTTTAGGAGAGCCTGTAAGTTAATTTAGTTTCCTACTTAACAAGTTAACAAAGATATTAGAATTTATTTATATGTCCAATAAGTGTTTTATGTCTGACTCTAAGAAAATCTTTATTTTATTTTTTGGTATTTTTGGGTTTTCTTTAATGGGGTTATATGTTTGTGTGTTTGCTATGATCCAATACGGCTACTTCAGCCAAGTGGGGGTAGCCCTCCAATTTCACCCAGAGACCTGCACCCTAGGTTTAGTCAGTAGCAACAAACTCATCTTTTAAAAAGAGGTATTCATTTAGAAAAATAGGTTTTACCATACGAGAATCACAATATCTAAATCTACACCATAACAGTTAAAAATTTTGTTTTTAAAAGCCTTTTAAAATTGCCAAATAACCATTTGGCAAACGGGTCGATTATTTCAGAGCGTTCTGTCATTGTTGTAGGTCCTACACTTTCATTACATCGATGTGGTATATATATATATATATATTAAATATTAGGGTTAATTTAGAGATCTCATTGTTGGTCAAAATTCTAAAGTTTCTAATCTAAGAAAAAATATTTTAGCCCCCTTTGGTTGAAATTCACCTTTTTTTTTTCTTTTCAATTTACTGAAAAAACCCATTACCATTTCTGCTTGGTTGGTCTATGATTTTATTATATTTAATTTTGATAGTGTAGGATCACCATGATGTTTTATGTGCACGAGCGCGTGATTCTAAACTAAGTCTATAATTGCTTACCAACTTTTTTGTCATTTATACTTGATTACGAAAAGATAACTTTTCCCAATAAAATATATACAGAAGCAGAATAAAAACAATCAACTGGATATTGATTTAGTGGTATTTTTCCTCGATAATGTTGAGAGAGAGGTCCCAACTTCGAATCTTCTCCCTCAACACAAGTAGAGACATGAACTTTTTACAGCTGGTTAATATATGCAGGAGTTATTTTTACTGCATCAAGCACTCCACCCAGATTTCCTTTCCACTCAACAGCAATTGCTCAATAATGGGGTAATTCAATTCACTTTTCACCAATCAACCTCATCATTTTGATTTCCCAATTCCTCATTGTTGTTTCTCTGCAGCTATACAAGAGCATTTTGCGAGGGAAAACAATGGGAAGGTGGTTGAAAGATCAAAAGGAGAGGAAGAAGCAGGAACTCAGAACCCAAAATGCTCAGTTGCATGCAGCTGTTTCTGTGGCTGGGGTTGCTGCTGCTGTAGCAGCAGTTGCAGCTTCAACTGCATTGCCTGAAACTTCAGCTGCCCACCAGAAAGCCCCACTAATATCGGAGCTGAGGACTGAAACATCAGCTGCACTAGCATCTGCAGCTGCTCTTGTAGCGTCGCGTTGCATTGAGATTGCGGAGGAAATGGGAGCTGATCATGACCACATTCTATCAGTTGTCAACTCTGCAGTAAATGCAAGGACGAATGGAGATATCATGACCTTAACTGCTGGAGCAGCTACAGGTATCACTAAGCCTCTACAAAGCTGTACTAAATTCCATCATTTTAGAACAAAAATCCTTGGCTCAACAATTTTCCCCAAAATTTCAAACCAAACAAACTCAACACTCAAACCACAATAAAGCTAATCACAAACTAGTTTAAAACATATTGACACCACAAGTTTTGGATCAACTTTATTCTGATCCATGATTTACAGCTTTACGAGGAGCTGCTACACTTAAGGTAAGGCTGCAAAAGGAGTATGGAGGCACGAACTTGGTTCTGGCTGACGAAAAACTTGAAGGAAAAGAATCAAATTCAGCACTGAACTTTGTCACTAGAGGAGGTGAACTCCTCAAACGTACAAGGAAAGGTAAACAAAGGACATTACCAAGATACATTCATGCAGCAATAGTTAATTAAGCTAACTGAATTCATGGATAAATTCGATGGCTAATGTGAACTCACAGTAATGTAACTTTTGAATGCAGGTGATCTCCACTGGAAGCGAGTTTCTTTCAACATTAATTCAAATGGGCAGGTAAACAAGCCAAAGATTCAAAAATTTGAAAAAGAAAAAAAACACACTAAAATCAATGAATGAATTCGATCAGCTTACTTCAAATGATAACAGGTTGTAGCCAAAATGAAAAGCAAGCACATGGCGGGAACATTTACGAAAAAGAAGAAATGTAAGAACATTCTCATACCCACAACAAATATTTCACGTTGACTTCTGCCCCTGTCAACAGTGATGCCGCACTGTGATGCATGCAGGTGTAGTCTCTGGAGTCTACTGTGACATCCCAGCCTGGCCGGGAAGGGAGAGGGAAGATGGAAGCAAACCAAGGGCATACTTTGGGATAAAAACAGCTGAAAGGACAATAGAATTTGAATGCAAGAGTAAAGGTGACAAACATATGTGGACTGAGGGGATCCACCATATGTTGAATTTCATGCCAACATAACACAATTCCAAGGAAGGTTAAAATTTGGATTGATGTAAAATTGAATTGTTAGATTTTTCACAACAATCAATGTGCAGCAACCATCTCAAAATCTTAGCTCTACATATCGTTGGGCAAGGATGGCACTTATAACAGATGTTACAGTCTTGTACAGAGTGCTATATCTACAAGTTTGATTTGGGTATGTTCTCTCAGGGACTGCTTCAAGATAAATAAAATTGGCAGGTTAGAATAATCTACAGTCAAAATTGTTACTAATCTTCCCATGGACTCAATTTAGAGTCTTTGGTGATGCTTCTAGTCACTCCAATTCCTTCATAAAATCAACATTATCAACAAAGACCTGCAGGATGGCGAGGGGCGAAAATTAAAGTCATTGAATTAAAATTGTAAATCAATAAAGTTAACGTATTGCTTCAAAAATATGATAAATTTCATGCATAAAAGGAACAAAATATTCCATAAGAACACCAAGGTGTCATCAATTTTAAATTTTTGCACCCTAACTGGTACCAGAACTACCAACTAAGAAAATAGAACAATTACTATAGGGAAATGCAATGAAACCAACTTTCACTTATGGAAGGCCGTAAACCGATCATACCGATTTCCAGCCATCAGGGTCAAGGCAAGCAGTTATCTTTGTGTTGATACCTGGCAAAGGCCCAGGTTCAAGAACAATCTTCCCTCCATAGAGTTTGATTGCTTCTGCACTCTTATAAACATCATCTGTGCCTATTGCGATCTGTTAAAATTAGGGATTCAGTCTTCTCAGTATAAAAGCACAGAATTTATATAACTTAAATACAATGCATAGTAAAATACGTTGTAAGAAAAATAATATCATATACCTGTGCATAACCATTTCCTTTGTCATAATCTGTGATCCCATAGTTGTACGTCAGTTCAAGCACTGGATTCTTATCTTCAGGACCATAGCCCATCAGGGCATATGTATACTAGTAAACAGACAGAACCAAATATCAGGTAGAGTAGCAAAATCCAGACAATGTTGAGCAATAGTTTTCAATTTAATTACATATGTTAAAAGGAAATAGATGGATAAGAATAAAGTTGTTAGTAAGCAAAAATATGTTAGCCCAGCAGCTAGATTTATTAATGATATAGTGCCAGGATTCTGATTGATGGGGAACACATTTCAACACTCCCCAGTAGAAGGTTCAAAATCACATTCCAGCATGCGTCTGTGCTCATGGATTTCTACCTTTTTGTGCAACAAAATTAAAAAACATGATCAGATAGTAGTTACATAGGCAATGCAAAACCCACAGAGCACCTGCTTCAACTAGACAAAAGGCAAGTGTATGGGATACCTTCCTGCACAGCTACTGCCTTACGCCCAAATCCAGGAAGAAAGAAGAAATGGGCATAAAAAGAAAAACCCGTTACAACAAAGACCTTCAAATACAAGCCATATGTATGAACACTACATTATTCAGCAAGATCCTCATATTCATAGAGATATAAACCAGATTATACTCCTAGACACCACATAAATGCAAAAATAGCAATGGCATGTTTTGGTCACAATTTCTATAATGGTCATGCAGTATTTAAAAAAATGTGTGGTGTATAGAGATTAACATGAGCATCATTATTTCAAACTATCAAGTATCGGGGAAGTTATCAGTGGGTGGTAAGTTTGAAGTCAAGTCACCTTGTACTCAGGATAATCTCTCTTGCGAAGAAGTTCCATCCCAAAAGCCTTCAAGTTAAAGAAACACAACGTTAAAAGCTAAATGAAGCTTACATCTATAAAAGCCTAACCAGGATCAGATATTATTAAGTTTAATAAAGAAATTTATTTAACACATCTTACCTTCTTATAAAACTTAATAGCGCGGTCAAGATCGCCTACACGAAGCATCACTTGACATAAGGGCTCAGGTGAAGGCCCTCTCTCCAAAAGCTCAAACGTATAGCCATCAGGATCCTCAACAAAAGCAATTATTGTACTGCCACCTTTAGCAGGGCCAGGTTCCCTGGTAACTTTCCCTCCCTTTGCCTTTATCAGTTCCACTGATTTGCTGACCTACATAAAATCGTATAACCTAAGTAAGTCCAAAAATTTTGGCATATAAAACATTATGGATAAGACATAAAAATGTTAGAGATAATAATGCTCCGGAATTGCTGAAGAGGATGGATGTTATAGAAAGGAAAAAAACTACATCTATATTAAGAAATAGCAACTTACATCTTCAACATCAATACCAAAATGGCCAAAACCAGTCCCAATGTTGTACTTGTCTACTCCATAATCTATAAGAAAAATACGATCGAATTTCACAATACGAAAGCAACTGAATGGTATTAAAAAAAATACTTGTACTAAACAAAAAAATACGCTTGAAATCATACAGAGTTACATATACAAAAATGACTTACTGTATGTAAGTTCAACAACAAAATTGGAATCTTCCGGCCCATATCCGAGAAAAGCATTTGAATATTGCTCCTCTGGTATGTCACGCCTTCTTAACAGCTTCATCCCCAAACATTCGGTATAGAATCTGCACCTCAAAAGGAATAATCAGCTATCTATATACGATGAACAATGCATTGTTGAAGCAGTATGCCTGTTACTAAATAGACACGTACTTTATAGTCTTGTTCAAGTCCCCAACACGATAGACAACATGAAGCATTCTTCGTTTGTCATTTTTTACCCACTCCAAAGCATTTTCCTTGGTGATAGCGGTGCCTGCTTGTGCCAAATTTGCAACTGGGGCAGCCTCTAGTGTGTTTCTCTCTCCTCTTAGCAACTCAGATGCTTTTGCAACTAATAGTTGTGACTGAGGTAGAGCTAGAGAACCACCCCGAATCCACAAGCGCAAGGCATATTAAATCCAAATTATGGGTTCTTTTTAATCAAAAATTAAATTAACTAAACTGAGTGCCTACAAATGCTTGCTAAGGTTCTTCATGTGATTAGAAAGTAGACAACAATAAGGAAAATTGATTAATTTTTGTAAGGTGAAGATCATTCTTTTATGTATAGCAACTTAATTTCAGGTCATGTGTCAAAACTCAAGCCTCCATATAATTTGAATTTTTCATAATTTCTCTAATTACAAAAGCAAAACTGCAAACTTTCAGCCAGAGATAATCAAATTCCCATTGCATTACAAGAAAAATTGAAGCAAAAGAAAACAACCAAATTTCAACTCTTATATATCGTACACTATATTCAACCCAAACTTAGCATAATGCATATACATTGCACATTTGAGTATAAACTAAAACAACCCAAAAAATCAGTAACTCAAAATAAGAACAAAATGAAACATGGGTTTTTCAAATTTTGTGTTTCCAATGGGAACAAAGTGCAAAACAATGATGATAAGGGAGGAATTACCAGAGCCGAGGTGAAAGAGAGCGAGCCTTCGAGATGTACAATATGAAGAAGCAGAATTTCTCACATCACAAAACCTCAAGGAGGGCGGTGGTGGAGCAAGAGAAGGTCTTAAGAGATTCAGGGTAGCCGATAAAGATGACATTTTGGTTATCTTTTCTAGTTTCCACCACACTGCTACTGCAACGTGTGTTCCTCTGTGTTTCGCTCACTCTGAGCTTTTGCTCTGTGTTGTTATCTGCATGTTGATATATGCGTGCGCGGGTAAATGGGCCTTGCACGTAGCATTTGGGCTTGTCATGACCAATTTGTTTTCACAGGCCTGGCTTGTCGTATAGCGTGAATGAGTTTGGGTTGGACAGAGGCTTATGGCCCGAGCTTCTATTCTCCTATCACATCTTTCATTTCATAATGACGGGTACATTGTCTCAACTAATTGGCTTAATTCACATTTTATTTGCTTACATGCATCTTAATTGTTAAATTATTATACTGCCTCGACCAGCCAGCGCAGCTAGTGTACCTGGAACGTGCAAAAATTTCTCTAACACTTCTACATGTATAACTCTTGAATTGGAGTTGCGAGTGACAAATTATTTTCTGGTACATTCTTATGAGAAAAATAAAATTATTTTCTGGTATACATCATCATGCACGTTTGACGTAAGGAAATTTGTATTTGGCATAATCAATCACAAATAAAAGTCAATAGTTTTGCCTCCTGGGTTACTTTGTTAAATATCTATTCTTACTGACCCACTTTCAAAGTCATCATTATACAACACTAATTCCAAGTTTGGGGGTTAATTAAGAATTATGCAATAAACAACATTAGCCTCTTCGCACGCGCTTTCGGGCTTGCGAGAGGTTTTTTTTTAAATTTATTTTAGAATTAAAAAAATAATGGATATCCATAAAAATAGAATCCATTATCTTATTTTTCTTTTAATTTTAATTTTTGTTTAATATGAAAAAGTGTGAATTTATTATATTATCCTCATTTAATAAATAATTTAAACTCTTAATATTCGCATTAACCAAGAGCATTTTATGATATTCTGAATGTTTCACCATTCTCTGTCTTTTACTTTATATATATAGATGATCATCGTAGTCGCAAAAAATGAAGATATATCTTTCACTTTCAAGCTCCCATATGCGGACCTGTTTGTTAGTGATCCATCAATATCATCGAAAAAGAAAATTCAATAAAAAGTTTTTGCAGGCCTGTTAGTTAGTCGAATCAAATTTATGGTTCTAAATAAAGATTAAAAGGTCAATATGCATTGGTTTTGGTAGGCAAAAGAAACAATAATTTTAAGTCCAATTCTCAACCTCATCATGGTTTCCCACGGTACCTGGATATATATGATATTCGTCATGTTCTTGTTGTTGGATCCGTTTTATGGATAAACATTGAGAGGTAGGCAGATGATGGGCATGGCATCGATGAACCCTAATAATTCATTACATTATTAGGCATGTGGGCCCTTTAATTTTGCCATCACTATGTGCTCACTGCACGATTATTGCAAAACTCACACATGGTATATATGGTACGTGCACTTAAAAGAGTTAGGTTGGCAAATGCTTGACATGTTCTCAAAAACCTCTACTATATAATTTATACCCAAAAAGAAACCAAAAACAAAATAAAAAAGTTATTACGGTTGAGAGTGCTGTAAATTCCACGTCACGAAATTGAAGTCTCGCTTAACAGTTTAAATGATTTTAAACCCCTCTATTCACCGTTAACTGATTTTGAATTGGATGCTCACACACAGTAATCGCCTTATTCTTGTGTGTAATTATGGATTTACATCTCCATTAAAAAAAAAGATTAAAAGTGGAGAGGAAGCAAGTACGTAGTGGATGCCAATACTTGTTGGAGGAGAAGAGTGGATTCATGATGAACTAAGAGACAAAATGTTGAGTTCCATTTGAGTAAACTTTTGGCTTTTGCAACAAAATAATATAATGAAAAAAAAGATTGATAAAGACTTCTAGTTCGGTATTCAGATTTTATACCATGAAGACGACTTTTACTTTAGCATTCAGATTTGGACATGGAGAGGCAGCTAAGTCATCATCTTCATCACAACCCAACAAAACAAACATGCTTGCTTATCTAAAATTAATATTGGATTTTCATATAATAAAATCCTCCTTCAAACGTTTACTTTCGATCAATAATTGAAATTTGTACTATTTAAATATCCATTGGATATAAAACTATATTAAAGAAAAGGAAATGCATTATGCATCTGCCCAATTGAAATTAAAAAACAAAAACAAAGACAAGGGAAATGCGAATGGACACAAAAGTTGTACACTCAGAGAACAACATTCATTTGAATATGACAATAATTCTTTATGAATCAATCAATCGCAAACTTGCTAGCATGCTCAGCTTTTGTGATGATATGATATGTAATGCTCTTTTTTTTTATGATAATTTATATGAGGTTCGTGTTTCATATATTTTTGAATCTACGACTTTTAAGTTATTAGAAAATGAACCGACAATTTATCAGTAGTTAGTAACATACATCATTTTATACCTTTCGTTTTATGTATTACCTACAAAAATTTGATTTTGTTTCACAGTTTCCTCTTCGATCTTCATGCCGAACATCAAATCCTGATCATGGATAACGTCTAAAGCACTCAATAACATTATTGGACCCAACTTGTCATATGTGTATATATATTGTCATGTGCTCAGTTAATGCCTGCCCAATTCAAATCCACCATGGCACAGAGTCATACATTGACAGATGATAATGGCAAAAGAGCAAATACACCTCAAGTCAAGGGGTTTAGCTGTAAAAGGATATCACAATATCATTGCTTATAAATACCAAACATTGTCATTGTGCTGTAGAAACTGCAAAGCGCAGAGACCCTCAACCTCAAGGCAACTCGATCATAGGATACTAGGACAAAATGGCGAAAATAGCCTTGGGAACCATCTGTGAGGCTGCCCTGCCAGAATTATGGAGAGCCCTCGTGGTTGAGTTCATCACCACCTTCCTCTTTGTCTTTGCTGGTGTTGGATCAGCCATGGCTACTGGTAATTCATAATTTTATTTATTTATTTTATTTCATTACATTTGTACTGTTTGTCATTAATGTATCTGTCGTTTATATATAATTGGTAGTCCCATTTGTGTATATACGGTAACTTTAACGTACGGTGTTGCGTTTGGTTGGTAGATAAGCTAGACGCAGATGCATTAGTCTCGTTGTTTGCCATAGCTGTGACACATGCACTAGTTGTGGCCGTCATGATATCCGCCGGCCACATTTCCGGCGGTCACCTTAACCCGGCTGTCACCCTCGGCCTCCTCGTTGGCGGTCACATTACCGTCTTACCTGCTAGAGTACCTCACTGGTGGATTGGTAAGTCACAAATTATTAATGCGACATTATTTTTCGGAATATCATTTATTTATAAGGTCATGTTATTTGTCACCTAATTTAATTGTTAATGTTTTGGCAGACTACACCAATTCATTCGCTCGCAAGTGGGGTGGGATACTTTCAAGGTGTGATATGGGAGATTATCCTCACATTCTCCTTGCTCTTCACAGTCTATGCTACAATTGTGGACCCCAAGAAAGGAGCTCTTAACGGTTTGGGCCCCACACTCACTGGGTTTGTGGTGGGGGCCAACATCCTAGCTGGTGGGGCTTTCTCAGGGGCTTCAATGAACCCAGCAAGGTCCTTTGGTCCGGCTTTGGTGAGCTGGAACTGGACTGATCACTGGGTTTACTGGGTTGGGCCCCTCATTGGTGGTGGGCTTGCTGGGTTCATCTATGAAAACTTCTTCATTTTCAGACCAACAACTCATCTCCCCATTCCCACCGAGGAAGAGGCTTTTTGATTCTTGTGGTGTCAAATTAAACTCTACTTTGGCGAAATTCTAATTCTGCGATATTTTTATTTTTATTTTTTTGTCGAAAATAAGAATTCGAATACAAGACTTTAAGTACAGGAGTAACTGCTTGATATTAGCATTTTGCAGCTTTGTTTGGTATGCCATTTATTGTATATTGGTCCTACAAAATATAACAAAATCCACAATCCAATACATAGGATATTGACATTTTTATAGTTCAAGGAAATAAAAAGGTTGTGGCTACAAAAATTAAATAAGCTCTCAGGGAGAAATTATTATTTTTATGATACATCTGCTAGAGAAAATTTTACCTTTGAAGCAGCTTCCTCTCAACCCATGAAGGAGACAACACAGGGCTAGTCTCATAATCCCTAACCTTAGTCCTGGAAAAACTCCTCTTCATATAACTGAACCCCATCTTCTCTTCTGGTGACACCTTGACCTTCCAAACCTTAAAACTCTGGTCCAAACTTGCACTATAAACCAGAAACCCCTTCACAACTTTGTCCATCTCCAAACAAGCAGCCAAACACCTCACAGGCCCTCTGTGCCCATTCAGCACAGCCAAACACTCATGGAAACAGCTCCCTTCCTCTCTCCTCCAAACCCTAATGGTTGTATCCTCTGACCCACTAAATATAAACCTCTCCACAGCCACTAGGCAGAGCACTGCAAAATTGTGACCCTGTAAAAACCCACCATGGTTAAATCTATAGGTTATTTTCTCCTTCTCCCAGAAATTAATTGTTCCATCTGAAGAACCAGAGTAAAGGAAACAATTGGAGTTGAATGATGAAGTGCTTAGGGCCAATGTATATATAGGGTAGTTTTGGAAATTCAGAGTCATGATGAGAGTGTGAGAGTTTTCACTAAATACCATTCTCCAAATCTTCACTGACCCATCTGAGGAGCAAGTGAAAACGCAGCCATCATCTTGCTTCACCAAAATTGCGTTGACATTGTGTTCATGTGCCACAAATGAATCCACACAGTTTTTGGTTAAGACCCTCCAGGCTTTGACTGTTTTGTCAAATGAGCCAGTGTATAGCAGGCCTTCTGCATGATAATATGCCAAGCAGGAAACACATTCTTTGTGTTTTTGGGTGTTGGTTTTTGAAAACAAAGAAAATGAGCTTTTTTTGGGGATGGAGGAGACCTTTTTGGACCTGAAATTGTCTGGGACTTTGAAGTTCCATATTCTGATTTTGTGATCCTTGTGTGTGGTGAAAAGAATGTCACCATAAGCCAAAGTGCTTCTTACTTCACCTGAAGTTGCCTTGATGCAACCGTATTCTATGTAGTCCGGCTGCCTCCATACGCGAATTCGGGTGCTCTTGGAGCCGGTGAAGACTAGCCCCTGCTGCCTTGAAATGGCAATGGAGTAGATGATGCCTTCGCGGCGATGCAGCGAGGCAATGCAGTGGTAAAGAAGCGAAGGGGATGGGGTTTGGAGAGGGGAGAGGGTCCATGGGGACTCTGGGCTTGGGGGTGGCAATGGCATTGTGGTGTGGGGGCTGGAAGGCATTGAAGGGCTGTTGCTATCTTCTTGGTCACAGATGATAGCTTCTTCTTGTTGATCAATATTATTACTTCCCTCCATTGCATTATCTCTCTCTACATATATGAAGCTAACGAGGGATTTCTTGGGATATTTCAAGTCCAATTCCATGGCTTGAAGGTGTTTAGAAGGAGCTTGTGGGGCTAGCTAGAGATATATAAAGATCAGAAGGGTGATATATGTATTTATGAAGAACATCTTGAAGTAGCTTGGATACATAAATTTCCTATACATATAGCATGCAGTTCAATTCAATATGTTAGGTACGTAGGTTCCATACTTTGGAAGTTTTTTTAGGCCTTTCCTCTTGCAACCCCTCCTTCCGAACATTAATTTGGGTTAGAAGACTTGAGACACAAATATTTAGAGCACCCATATCAACCCATCCATAAAAGTTGCTGGTTCGTTTTGATATATTAATCTCCATACATATGATTTGGTGTAGGGGGAATTATATTGCAGCAATAAACAGATGGAGACATTAACTGAGAGGATGAGGGGGTAGAGTTGTGATTAATGTGGTGTATTTAATCTCCATCCACAAGTAATAAATCCCCAAACATTGCCATAGAGAAAAAGCAAGCTTGTCAATCAAATACAGCAATGTTATATAGGAAGACAATTAATCTTTTCATTTTATTTTTTATTTATAATATTCATTAATACGATTCAAAGCAGCTTAACTTGGATCAATGTCACGTCTAGAGTAAAATCTCGAATCCGGTGTGTGACAATCGAACAGTCGAGGCTAGTTTAATTTCCAGCTTAAATTGCACAGATGGGAAATCTGGGAAGACAAGCAAGCATATATAATGCATAATAATGCTAAGATTGACAAGGCATTGACACAAAAGTTGCATGAAAGCCATATGGCACCCGCTGTGGCAATGTGAGTTTCGCAATCGGTTCACTTTCAAATTTCTTTGCGTCAATTACATGAACCTGGCAGCAAGATATATAATTAAAGTGATTATAATCTGATCAGCAAGGCTAAATATAATTCATAATAAGACATCAATTGAACATAAAATTAATGTTCCTTTTTATCGATCCAATAAATTTTAGAACTGCTTTTAAAACGGCTAAAAGTGTTTCTTGACTATAAAAGCAATATCTGAATAAGGTGTATTTTTAAGAATCACTTATAAGTTCTTTTTTAAGTAGTATATACTTAAATTTTTTATTTTTTATTTATAAAAATGTTGACATGCTTGTAGAAAAAGTGCTTATGAGCATAATTGCTTCTTACAAAAGCAGTCCGAAACTTATCATCGCAACTCACTTGGGTGACATCAGTTTCTTCATTGTGGACAAAAGTGACAATCCAACCATCATCTTCCTCCATGTCTTTGCCTCCATGCCTAGCCACAAAAACGCTTCCACTGCAAAAGTTGTTCTCCTCAAACTTATGGTACTCAACTTTTATCAAATCCTCACACTTTCCCTCCTGCTAGTAATACACACATAAACATTTTTTTTTTTTTTTTATGGTGATTAAATTTATTGGTTTTATGTACAATTAATATTAATCCTTACCACAAATGACGTAGAATTCGATTCCTCCAAATATAATTTGGCTAGAGATCCATATTTTCCCATGCCTAGGACAAACAAAATCTCAAATAATTCAACAAAATAATTCCTAACATAGCACATTATTTTAATTGAGATGAATTTAATCAAAGTTTCCTTTTTTTTTTCTTTACCACAGTCAGAGCTTGCCATAGAATCAATGACCTGTGTATAGCCATACTTGTGTTCCAAGCCAGTTACTTGTTCATTGATGAAAGGAAAATCCATGGAGAAATCAGTTCCGGTTAAATTTTTCTCCTCCACATCTCCAGAGACCATGTTCAATCTCCATTCATATAAACGAGAAAACAAATATCCAGTTTCTGCAGAATGATCATCTGCAAAGTTGAACCCTTTTGAGAACCACTCATATTTGTTAAGTCCACCATCAGGACCTGGCAAGAGGGATGTGAGAGCCCTGCATCCCCTCACTACAACCTGTTCTCGTTTGTCACATATTAATTATGATTTTAATAAAGATTACTAGAAAGAAAAACATATTATTAATAATTAATAATTAATCTATCATCAAATGAAATCACAATTATTAATTACCTCATTAGCCTCCTCAAAGCAATTGAGAATGTGAAATGTGCAATTGGTTTGTACCTCAAACCATTTGACTGACTCTGCATCACCATAACGTGGCATCACTCCAATCCTTGCATACTCTTCCTTTTCATACTTCAATAATCTATATATTGTACACATACATGAGAATTAATTCATAAATAATCCATATATAGATTAGCTGATGCTCAATCCAAACCTACATAGCTAAGATTAAGAAATTAAAAATCAAATTAACATAATAAGTTTGCAAATAATCAATGAATTTTTTTATAGGAGACTTGTAACTCAAGTGATTAATAGTAGTTGCGAGTTTGGGACTATTTGTATTCTATGTACTTACGGGCCACCCATGGTGACTCTCTTTACATGAAACGTAGGGATGATCAATGATTACATTGTACCTGAAGCCAGTAAAACACCAAAAGAGAAGGTTAATCTGATTAATTACTACAAAATCCCTGGATCAAGTAATATTTATTTTTCCTAATAAGTTCATATTTGTTTTTATTGTTTATACTTACTTCTGTGTGACTCCTATATCATGGCTAAGCGTACTTGTTTTGAAATTGAGATCAACCTTATGCAGTAATTTTCCATCAGCTGAGGTAATTATTTGCAATAACATAAGGGAAGTTTAATTAACATATAGCCCAACAAAAATAATAAATAAATGGAAAAACATAATAAGCAGTTGTTAATCAAATCAATTAGAGGGTTCGTACCAGAGATAACACCCAAAACATAGTAAGGTTTTTTTGCATCTACCCCCATTATGACTAGCTCTCCAGAGTTTGGAGCTTTCTGCACAATTATAAGCACAACCAACCAAGGTTGTATCTCATTTATTGACTATCTTATTGGTCAACTTTCTAATATAAAGGTGAGTCTCACATGGAATCGACCTTTCACCAGCACATGTGGGTCCTATTTTCGCGGATCTCATTTCTATTAGAGAAGTGATCAGTAAGTCTAAATCTGTAAGTTTGTAAGTAAATGTGGTCGGAATAGTAAAATTATTCAAAAGAAAAAAACCTTTGGATGGCTGGTGAAAGGTCGATTCCAAGCTCCATTGACATTCCAGTCAGAAATAGTTTATTATGTCAAGATGTCCAACTCTTGAGGTAAATAATTCTCTGCAATCGAATAGAACCTTCCTGAATGCCAAAAAACATTGGTGTTGCTCAAGTGTTTATTGATTGTGCCAAACCTCAACTGCAAGAATATAAATGAAACAAATTAACTAATTATGGATATATATGATAATCAATTAAAGCAAAGCTAGTTCTCATATAAGTTAACCATAGATC